GTCTGAACAGTGTCCTTCGATGTTGGTTTTTGTTGGAATAGTACTGTGGTCGATTATTCCGTTTTGGTATCCTATTTCCGTCCCATCTACTACTGTTAATTGGTAGGGTATCGTTTTCTTAACAGGGACATCCAGCCTCCCGGCTGCATCTGGGGAAAGGAAGTTTCCAGTAGCTCCCGAGTCTATCATTACTCGGAGTTTCTTTCCTCGTATAACAGCAGTCACTGTCAACTGTTATTTCCAGTAGCTCCCGAGTCTATCATTACTCGGAGTTTCTTTCCTCGTATAACAGCAGTCACTGTCAACTGTTGTTCTCCGGAAGTGGCGCAGATTTCTTACTGCCAATTGGTTCGAGGTAGCGGACCCAAAATGGGTTCCTATCTCGACCTGCCACTGGTACGAGCAAGACTCCTTTGTCGTCTGCTTGCTCTACCCTACACATTTCGTTTGCGTACAGATCCACCCTTGGCTTCGGGAGACTTCCTACGAAGTTTGGCTTCGGCTGGCCAACAAACTCTGGCTCGCTTATCCATCTCCATTCGCTAGTTTGTGTAGTTGTGTCGTATGCCATCCAAGTGTCTCCTACTTGGGGCTAAGGTACTAGGTACTCTCTATAGTAGGATATACGTACCTAGTCTAGGGCAATAAGGGGACATTCGCAGGACATTTCGACAGGACCTTATACTATAATACAGAGTCTATAGCCAAATGGAAGCTTCCTATTAGTTACTCGGATCGGGGCGACTTTTTCCTGATCATGTAATAAATTCTATCTAGAAATATAAGCCTCTAGAATAGAATATATCTAGCTAAATTAAAAAAGTAATGGAATTGTTCTAGAGGGGGGTCTAGAATAGAAAGGAATTCCAGATGCCGAACGTTGTTTATCTCCCGGCGTTTCCCGTAGTACCCTCACTTCTGAGCTTGTTATATACAAGTAAAAAAGACATTGTAAATATATTTACAATTAATTCAGATGATTGTAAATGTTTTCTCGAAGAGCACTGTATCGAAGTATTGAAATGGCTATTCAGGAAGGAATCTGCTTATTTTATGTCGAAGGTGCTCTATAAATGTAATTTTACTTATTTTTAATAGACTTGAACGCCCTCTTCTCTGATACTTATGTAAATGTGCTCGATAACTCGTTACTTCCTACTAGGATCGATGGTAAAACTTTTGTTAACAACGGCTATGAGATTAGATTACAATTAAAGGAAATCGTTCTCTGTCGTGACTCTGAGTATTTCATAGCTCTTAGACACTAGAAGATATATGATATCGTCGTGGGTACTTGAGGTATAATGTACCTACTATTCTCTACTGGACCATATTGTTATATTCAGCTTCAGCGGAAGGTCTATCGATGTGAGAGGCCAGACCTCGAACAACTCAAAGGTGTGGGTTCAATATTCAATTAAGAACTACGTGGTCTGTAAATACATGTTCCTCCTCTACTCTTATACTAAATGTAGCATTTCCATTGCATTCAACACTGTTCCATAGTATTACCAATCTTCTGCGTCATAGCATTCTATCTTATTCCATGGCGTTCCAGAGGCGGGGTCGCTTAGCTTAGCGAGGGCTCTAGGCCCGAGCCCCACTATGGGTTCTAACCCTCACAATCGATTTTCAAAGGGCAGGCTCGTTGAATTCAGAAGACCTATTTCGTGGAGAGGCTAGATTAGTTGGAGATGATAAGGTGCATCGAGAGTGATATTAGGGGTACTTATATTCTAAAAAGAGGGTAGATAATTGATGGAGTGGTTCATAATGACAGTAGATGACTTTGATAGTCTGTGTAGCTTCCCTATTGTAATCACCAAGGGTTCTCTCACTTTTAGTCCAAAGACAACTCGGACGAGGTATTAAGCTTTTTCAATGGACACACCTACCTAAAGCCTATTCCCACAGTAAAAATACCCATCGTAGTACACATCTGAGATTAAGCACCCAAAAACACAATGAGATTATGTTGCTCGATGGAGCACTCCGGTAGTCAGCCCATTCATCACCTCATCCATATTGTCAACAAGACTACCAAAGTCCCAGACAACTACCATTAAACAGTAGAACCAAGCTTATCCCTCTCCAGTGCTCCCTCACATCCAAACTTTGGGGTAATTTTCAACACCAAAAGTCGGATCCACAGCAAGGGACAAAGTTCAGACGGAAAGTAGAAGCAAGGGTCTCAAGCGTATAAGTATACAAAGTTGGTGAAATTGAAAGTGTGAGGTTTAGTATTTACTTAGGTTGGTTACGAACTTGTATTTTCCATCTTTCGCACGCAAGGGACCTGAAGTTGGCATCGAGCATCGTTAAATGCGATTTAACTTAGAAAGTGTTCCTGCAGTAATCGAAGGGAATTTATAGAGGGAAGGGTTGTATGAGCCACAGCTGAATTTTCTAAAGGGAGCACAGTTTGGGGGACTGTAAATAGTTCTTCGCTCAACACAAGTAAAATGAGAGTTAGCGAATGAGGAGAGAGAGACAATTTCTTTACACGCAAGCTAAAGAAAAAGCTTAGCCATTATTTTTGAATCATTCTTGAACCAACCCCATCGCACACCTCGATCCCCCAATCAACCCCTCCCTACTCATACACTCCCGCCCCCAACCCTGCACAATCTCCCATCCCCCGTCGGCAGCCCCCCCGGAGCCCTGACCTCCCAACCCTCACTCCCTACCCCCCTAACCACCCAAAACAAACCCCAAGGATCCCACCTTCCCTTCACACCCACCAACCTTGCATAATTCTCCCCAAAGAAAACCCTTTGCCACTCCGTCTCCCCCACATCCGCTTCATTCATATAACTCCCCGCGTGTGGCGCCACATCCACAATACCCTGGAAATACTGTCTAAGCCGAGTATACGATGCTTTTTGGGTGGCGATGGAAGCACCGGTGGCTGCAATGTTGTCGTAGGCTTCGGAGTGCATTGCTGCTGTCCGCCAGGAGGGAAGAACGCTGTTATTTACGGCGAAGGTGCGAGGTGCGAGGGGACAGTGTTGGATGCCGTGGAAGTAGTACCCACCTTCCACGTAGGATTTTATTGCTTCGCTGGTCTTCGCTAGAAGACTTGAATCTTCGAAGTTCTTGCGGGGAAGGAGACGAGTGGCTGTTCGAGCTGTTCCGATGTTCAACTCGCCTGGTCCCGCAAGATTTACACCATCAAATATTACTGGACTGGGAATGTCCAAATTGAGACCTAGACTTCTAAGCTCGTTGAACAACGGAGTGATGAGGGCGCGAGTTTGGGCATTGCTCAGATTCCCCATCGAAAGAGACGTTGTGAGTGTTAGGATTGAAGGATCGCTGGGAGAGTGACGGATAAAGTTATATCCTATTCCACCATTATCACAAATCTCTGGTAAGAAAGCCCAGTATGCTTGAACTGCTCTCCAGAACGTCGTGGTATTTACACCGATGGAACTAGATGGGTCGTTTGTGAAGGATAGAGAGAGGGAGGAGATGCTGGTTAGGGGGTATGTTCTCACGAGGATGGAGGTTATGACTCCCCATGTTCCTGCCCTCGCTTATTAGTTGGTGAAAACAAACATTTGAAGGGTTATGAAGAAAAAGGGAGAAGACGGACCCCCACCACCTCCCCTAACAGCCCAGAACAACTCCTGATTTTCCTCCTCGCTAGCCGTCACAAATTTCCCATCGGCCGTAACAATATTAATCTCCAGCACCTGATCAGCTGCTAACCCATACAAACTACTCAATGTACTATGACCACCACCCTGCAAAAACCCTCCAGCAACTCCGACTGTCGAGCCTCCGGGTCCCAAGATCGTGATCCTGTTAGAGGCGGCAAAGCGGTTAAGTTCGAAGGTTTGAATGCCGGCTGCGATACGTGCTGCGGGTCCGGTATAAGACCCTGACGTGTGGGAGGGCAGGAACTCTGTAGACTTGAGGTGGTGAACCCAAATACTTAACGAGCCCGCACCTTGGGATTTGCCGAGGAAGTCGTGGCCTGTGTTTCTGTGGTTTTTCTTTCATTAGACTGGATTCGCGGAATTGACAAGAAAAACTAGAAGGAGAAGGGCTGGAGGGGAGAGTGATTCGCTACTCGGTTATACGAGCACTCTTTCTCAAGCAAGATCCACAGTAAACACTTCGAAGAAGCGAAACCAGTATCACTCCATCCCATCTCCTACCAACCTTCCCTCCCAGACCCAAAAGCAAACATAAAAAGAACTCACTTAACAACCAACCTAACCCCCATATTCCTCGCCCAATTAACCCCAACCTGCACATCCCTAACACTCCCCACCCTAATAACATACTCCGGCATACCCCCTCTCCTACACTCTCCCTCTATCCCAATAACATCCCCATTCTGTCCTACCGTCCCATTCGTCGGTAGCAAACACGAACTACCTCCCTCCCACTGACTGATAACACTCCCCGGATCGTTAGTATGGAATGTGGTATTCGCAAAGTTTTGACGCACGTACGCGCATTTCTGGACATCGTAGTAAGGCGCATAGCAGACTTGAGCTGGTGGTGTAGGACGGATCAACACCCCACCAAGCGTCCCATTAAGATTCTCCCATAGCACGGGAGAGGGCCAAACGGTATCGCCAGGAAAGGGTCTACACTCCTCCCCATGCCAATTTGGAAACCTTGGGTTATCACGGTCTCCGAATGCGATCTCGAGTCGTTTCTCAGTTTCGCGATCGGTGAGCTGGAAGGACTCGAATGGAAAATTGATGTTGAGAGTGTGTACTTGGAGTAGGAGGAGGAGGGGAAGGAGGAGGGGTGTCGATCTCATGATAAAATGATAAAAATACAAGACAGGGTGGGGTTATAAAAGGAGAATATTAGGTAATAGTAGTAAGGATAGTGTATAGAAATAAGAAGCATACACAAGCAGCAATATCAAAAACGAAACTCCCACGTCTAGTATTACATACTATATATCCAACTTTCCCCTCTCCTATCTATCCATCCCACCCCCATCTCAAAACGTACTGTTCCACCACCTCCAACCCCTTCACATCCTCGCAACACAAATAGAAAATCAACATTCCCATCAACTATTACAATCCTAGGATTCTACCGGCATACGAATGAGCTCCCATGTCAAAACATACAATACTACCTCTCCACCCTCTCCACCCCTCCAAGTTCGAACCCCCAACACCTCACAACACAAAAATCAAGACTAAATAACCCCATCCCTCTTCCCCAAGTATATCCAATTCAACCGGCATCCAAATGAATCCTCCACACTGACAGTGTCCCAACCGCAAATCAGCCCAAATATCCAGCGCAGACCTGCAGTATGTCTGCGGGGTAGCTAGTTATCCTGCAGTCAGCTAGACACCCCTCCTTCCTTCCACCACGAGTAGTACTCCTCGCATACCATCGCAAAAGACTCCCTCCATCCCCCCTTCTGCAACGGAGAATTTGTCATTCTCAGCAGGGATGGATTAGCACGTTGGGTAGATAAGTTTGTACTACCATTTGTAACAGGACCCATAATACTCGTAAGCTCGTACTTATTTCCGCTTGTCTCTACCTCACTCAGCGTCGTTTAATTAAGTCGTTACTAAGTGTCTTTAGATGAAGACTTTACCGCATTTCCTTTTTACACTAACTTATATCTTCTAAATTAGGTTAAATTATTCCTTGAGAGTAGTTCTTGCTTTTTATTTAATATGCGAACTAAACGGAAGTTATACTCGATGCGAGTTGTAAGTCGTACTCGGTAAAAGGGTTTCAATTTATATAGTAAAACCTAGATAATCCTTCCGAACCAGGAAGAGCCAAATGGACTACGATTCACAGGAAAAAGCTAATTTCTCTCTTGGTAAGTACGTAGGGGAGCGTCATCCTGTAATACTTTATACTTTGGCTATAATACTTAATAGCTAACCAAATAAGGGAAGTAGGTACACGCGTCACGAAGTGCTTGGAAAACACTAAGTGGCCTTATTAAAGTGTACAGTACACCTAGGTAAGACGTGATAGTAAGGTTCATATTCTACTGACCCTAACTCTAACCCGTAGGGCGCGAATTAAAAGAGTACGAGGGCATAGTTAGTAAGAGTACGACAGTAAGGGTACGACGGCAGTAATGATACGATAGTAAGGATAGATAGGAATAGCTTCTTGTATTACCTTGAAATGCCGCGAGGTATATACACGCGTTTCCTAATCACACCTAAAACATAGCTAAAGTTAAAATACTAAATTACTAGGAGTCGCGGAACGCCTCTTCTTCCTAAACGGGTTTAGCTATCATGCATTATAGTCAAAGTATGAAGCATTATAGGAGGACTCGTAGGGGACATTTTAAATAAAGCTAAATCGCGATATTCGGAGTGGTACTCATATTCGAAGTGCGAGGTAAACGTTTTCAATGCTTAATACGAGTGCCTAATACTTAATCCGAGTTAAGACTCGTGACTTGTATTAAGTATAAAACTCTAATTTTTATGGTAGAACCTGGATTTAGATCACGTACATCTTAAGCCGAACAGGCCGTTAAGCGAATTCGGAATGCGGAATGCGGATTTGGAAGTACGGGACTTTGCTACATTCCGAAGAAACCGAGATCACTATGTTTGGAGGAATACTTGCTCTATATTCGATGTACGACGCAAATAAATTTTCCACTCGATCCGAGTTCCTACGCGTAAGGAGTGACTTGAATTTACATGGTAACACTCCGAGAGTATAACCTTAGCCAAATGTGGACCCTGGTAGACCGTTATATGACTGGTTTTGAATGCGTTATAGTAGTCGTCTGAATATACCACGTGTTGGTGTCTATATAAGCAAGGTCTGCCTACGTCCCTTTACAAGTAGAGCTATCAGTTCAGAACACTTTACTTCGACCTTCTCAAGACCACTTCGACCTTCTCAAGACCACTTCCACTTTCTCAAGATCACTTCCACTTTCTCAAGACCACTTCCATTTTCTCAAGACCACTTCCACTTTCTCAAGACCACTTCCACTTTCTCAAAACCTCTACGGCAACACTCTTCTCTCTTCACCAAAATTCAACTCCAAAAAACCCTCATCATCATCGCCTTTCTGGCCACTAGTGTACATAGCCAATGGCAAAGCGCATCTTGCAACAAGTCCGATGAAACTGGTGATCATCTAGCCACCTATGAAGCATGCGTCGATGCAGGAAACGAGAAATGCAAGGATTGTGTTTTTAATATGACCTGTAATAGCCCTGGCTCTCAAATTAACCCAGATTCGTGGGCTGGATTCTGCAAAAAGGCGGGTACCAAATTTTCGTCAGGCTATGGCAAGAGCACCGGGTAGAGAAGTAGGAAAAGGGTTTTGGTGTTGGAGCCTAGACATGAGGGGAGACGAAAATGGGGAGGACATAGTCTGATGGTCAAACTGGAATCTACAGGGCACTTTGTAGTCAAATACACGGGCGTGTTGTAGGCTTTGGGATTTCCTACAGTGTCGCTGTCGCGATGCAATGATTTATATCTCTACTATGTTACTCTATATTTACAAGCTATTATTCTTATTCGTGACTCTTTAAAATCGTTGTACCACTTGCTTACTCATTGACTTTAACTAACTCTTTCTACCCTTTATATTCTCTTCTATAAAATATATAACTTATCTAAAACTTGAAATTTAAAATGTTCTTGCTAGAAGACGAGGGTATAATACAGAGTAGACAAGCTGGGATTAAGAGAGAAGCTAGCTAGGAGGAGTAGAGAGTCTTATAAGACGACCCTGGCCGAGTAGAAGGCTCTAGAGTACTAGGCATCCACCTAGGCAACTGAGATAGGGGGTCAGGTAGTAGAGATAGGAATGCAGGGGTCTCGGCTAAGACCGACATGTTATAACAATCGCCGCCACAAAAACGAAAGACGATGCCCTAGCGTCACTAATCTATCCAAATAAGTATCCGTCTATGGAGGAGACTCTTAATGAGTACTTATCCGAGCATGAAATAAAAATAAGCATGCTATTAAATCCATATCCAAATTCTCGTCCGAGAGAGGCTCTTCATTAAGAGCAATCCGGTGTCCATTCATTAATATCTATACTAGGTCCAAAGCAATGTGATTTATCCCTCCCAAATTGAGTAATATGTCGCAAGCGAGCAACAGTGTGTGTTCTCGTTCCTAAAAGTCTTTCGAATTCTAAGTATGTTTATCCTGTCGTACATATCTCCCTCCGATCCCTCTCGTTCTCCGAGGTTGAAAGGATAAAAACCGAAGTCTCTTCTATCGGAATACCGCTAGAAATAGAAGTATAGAAGTCTCGGCTAAGACTATATTATAATAGTTCTTATATATATTTCTAATACCTAGAATATAGAATACCTAGAATAAATAGCCTTTAAATAACTTCTAAATAACCTTATATTATTTAAAAACTTACTTTACTTTCCTTTATACTACTTACTTTAACCTAACCTAACCTAACCTAATTAAACCCTAAGACTAAAAATAAATAACTCAACCCTAAAATCCTAGGTATATATATCCCTTACTCTAGAAATATAACAAGAAAATAAACTAGAACTTTAGCTATATGAAAAGCTGTTGTGCTGGGTCTACTTTCTCTTTTGCTCCACTTCCTTATTTGATCCACTTATAGTTCTGCTGCCTAAATGCTCCATGTCTGCCTAAACCTTACACTCTTTATATAAACACCTTGGATAGCTACCTTTTACAATGCAATCAATTCTCCATGACCTTCAGTACCCAATACCCTTTCAACCCAATAAAAGCTATATTAAGAGTTCCTATACGAAGGTCCTAAAACCTTACCCACTTATCCCTATATAACCTACGTAACGCTACTTCTGCTCTACCGGGCGGTTTAAGATTATCTCTAGGTAGGTAGTCGGGGGTAAATCGGGTATATCACGTGGCTTCCCCGCCTTCCGAGTTCCAATTACGAGTATAAGATACGAGTAAGCCTTTATAAAGAGGGTCTAGGAGCTAAGATAGCCTTTTAGTACATTTACGATGTCGATGTCGAAACACTACATCGCAGAATGAACCACACTACAAACCTCTCTCACATTAAGCACTAGGTCAAGCAAGATTCTCACCAAAGAAGAACGAAGAAAGACTACTTAATCGACTTTCACTTCGATGTTCTCTCGCTAGAAAAAAAACCGGGAGGAGGCAGGAGGCAGGAAGAGAAAACCCGAGGAGAGAACTTGCAAAACGCTAAGTAGTAAAAAAACGACGACCTCGAAAACAGAAAGATTCGGTACCCGAAAAATAGAGCCGCGCACGAAGCAAAAAAGATTGTGCCTCGCAGTAAAAGACCACGCCCAATAGGAGAGAAAAAAACTCGCTCAAGGCATGTTCCTGGAGCAATACGATCTTTATATCCATCCTTCCTTTCAAGGTACAAATCCTGGAGAAGATCATTCTGTGATTACCGGCAGAGGTAAAGGGGGTACGACGTGCAAAAACTCCATATCCCTCCAATTCGCAGCAAATTGCGGCGACAGATCGAAAGTCTTCCCCCACTTAATATGCCCATTTTCAAAACAGAGATTGCGCCACCCCCGAACTGGTCATAGAATTTGGCTCGCGAAAAGAAGACGGGAAGATGTATAGGAGGGTGATATTGTATAGGGAGCTGGTATAAAGTTTGGATTTTTGGCATCATCGAGTCTGGTCTGAAAGAAGATCAAAGTATTAAACATCTGTGTGGCTTCTTGACGGGTTTCGGTGGCTCCAAAGCTGCTACGATTGCCTGTCATTCATGTCAGAAATCTGGTCAGTGAACACCGAGAGGGAATAAGAACGCACCTCATCGAATACATCCTTCAACTTGTATTGCGTCAAAGCACTACATTCAACGTATTTGACCGCACCCAACTCCTTGGCCATTCGCTCTCCATCCTCCTTCTTGACTGGTGACATCTTCTGCTTGCCTAACTTCTCCCTTACACTTTGGTCCTCTCTTAAATCGGTCTGGGTACCCACGATCAAGCAGGGAACGCCTGGGCAGTGGTGGTGCACTTCTGGGAACCATTTCTCGCGCACGTTTTCGAAGGATGCGGGGGAGGTGACGGAGAAGCAGACGAGGAAGACATCGGTTTGCGGGTATGATAAAGGACGTAGACGATCGTAATCTTCTTGTCCAGCGGTATCGAAGAGTCCTAGGGTATATGGTTCATCGCCAATCCTGTGGGCCATATTAGATCTGGATTTATGCGTGCCTCGGCACCTCGATATCTTGGTATCTGGAGCGTCGAAACTCACATCACAGTGACGGCATAATTGTCAAAGACGGTAGGGACGTATTCCGACGGGAATTTGTTGGTCGTGTAACTGATGAGGAGACAGGTCTTGCCCACGGCACCATCCCCAACTACCACACACCTGCAAGCCTGTTAGTTGGGAATCGCAGAAAAGGGGTCGGCGGCACTTTCTTGATTGTTGCGACCACCATGATATCTTCTGCAGCTTGATCGGTCGTGTGTCTGGTGGTGTATGCTGGGTGGAGGGCGGTCGTTGGATCAGGGTTGTAGTATTATCGGCCCAAGTCTCTCGGTCTCTCGTCACTTGAATCACCAGCCGACAAGACGACGGCTATTTCGCAGGCCGCGCAACGCCTGATCTCCTTCAGCAGCTGGACGGACGGACCTCTTGCGTCTGGGGACGTGGTAGGAATGGTTGTGGAGTGCGGGTGGGAGTGGGAGTGGCGATCTTGAGCAAACAAGTTGATGGGGTAGACAATCAGTGCTAACGGTGAACGCCAGCAGATAAAGATCAAGCTAGCAGTGGAGGTCAGAGGTCAGAGGTCGGGACTAGGTTAGTTGGATGCGGCTAAACCAGCCAAAGTACCGACACCACCAACCTGCAAGGCCGGGGCGGGTTTAAGCACAACAGCAACCGTCACGGATTTTTGGTAATGCAAATGGAATGCAAATGCAAATGCAGTTGCCCTACACAACTGGGTGCTTCGTGGGAAGACAGCCGCTGGTGGGAGGAAGTTCACGATATGAGAGATGAGCGTTCGGCAGATGCCACAAGAGGGAGGCACGTTGGTGATGGGACGGGACAGGAGTTGAGGGCGATGGCAAGGGAAAGGGGATGCCAAAGGTCGTTGGCTGTCCTGTCGTGTGGTGGTGGTCCCCCAGGGTCTGTATGAGAATCTGAGGTTAGATGTGTCGCAGGGATAAGGGGGAGAAGTCAAGAGGTCAAGACTCAAGGGTCGAGGACGAGGACTTGGCAGTAGTGCAGTGCAGTGCCAGTGGGATTGCCAGTGCGAGTACTCTGTGGAGACCTTCGCAACGCTATGCTACCCCTCAAAAGCTCTAGTTCTGCACGCTGACAGCAGGAATGATGCTGATGATGATGGATGACTGTGTAAGGTGTCCAACGAAGTGATATTATGATTGTGCAAGGAGGAGCAGAGGAATCCTCGCTTCTTAAGCCAAAGGGATTGCTCAGGTATCAAGTACTCGTCCCATCACAGCTATTCGCCACGAGCGGGCAAAGTCAAAGGGCAAAGCAGAGGGCAGAGGAGAGGGCTCAAAGATAGCATGCAATGAATGGCAGCCAGCGGCAACCGCACCAACAGCACCAACCGCCCGCTTTTAGTTACGGTGATTGATCCGGTGCAAGACAAATTTGATGCCTCATCATCATCTATACACCACCGTACGGGGCCATTGACACCACTTGGTTACCATGCAGGACCAGTGCAGTGAGTGGTGTTGGGTGGTTCGGCAGCAAAGTCGTGAACCGGTCCGGATTGGGCGGTAAAGGGTGGCCTGTTTCTTGATAGGAAGCAACCCGAACGGTGGAGTGGAGATACTTCGTACGAAAGCTTTCTTATGCGCGGATCCCATCTTCCCATGCCCGACTTTTCTCTGCAAATGATAGCATTCCTTTTGACGGGACTCGACCAGCAACCAAGCAAACGTCAATGCAGCCCAGAGAGAATGTGGTCGAGAGTGGCCACGAGGGGAAGGAGGGACAGTGCCGTGTTCAGGTCGTTCGGTTGTGAACCAAGTCGTGTTCATAGTGATAGGGATAGCAGGTTGAGCACAACATTATCAATACCCAGTGCTGTGATCCCCGTGTAGGCGAGAGTGAGTAGGGGTGGCATTGTACATGGCCAAGTCGAGTACCGATGGGATGGTTACAGTAGTTTAATTTAGCTGATCCAGGAACATGATCCAACTGGAAAGTATATCAACAGAACCCCGTGAGGATTCTCCTAGCACTGCCAGGCACGACTCGGCTATAAATCTCTTTCTATATTGTTGATCTGAATTATACCTATATGATGCAAGTTCGAGAAGTCAATTGCGCAATCATTCGCAGAGTCTACCTAGGTAGTAAACAAGTTTGATGAATGTAGTCACTAACCCTTGTGGCTCTCGTCCTCGTGGATGCTAACACCGCTAACAGCAGATGTTGGGGTAAAGCAAGCGAGCGAGCACTCAGGAGAATACCAACCTACCTAGGTAAGATACAGAGTGACCACCAATTTTCGTACACGAATATATTTGCGTAGAACTGCAATTACTCAGGAATCTCTCACCATGACCAAGAAAATTTTACTATAAATTGCAGGCACTAAATTACCCAACTAGGCAAGAACAAGCACTCGGTAGAAGGGGCTGAGCTGCAGCCTCCTGAGCCTCCGCTCCCCTCCCCTCCCGCACATCGTTCGTTTTCCTTCCATCAGCCTTTCAAGGATCGACCATCCCGCCGCCAAAGCGCATCCGCGTCTTCCATTGTCAATCGCGTGGGATGTGATGCACTGATGCTCAGACCCAACCCTAGGCCAACGTCAATCTGCCACACATTATTTGAGCACTGTCCAAAATCCAATCTCGCTTTCATCACCCATCGAATGACAACACGACAATCACACGCCATCAAATCAAACTCAATTACGGAGCTTGGTACGAAGTACATTTCCCAGCAACCGATACTCGACTCTTTCCCGCCAACGATGCCCGATTTCAATAGTGTCAATGTCAGTGTCAGGGCCAGTTCAGCGCTGGCGGACATGAACACCAACGAGTTGTCCTGTTTAATTGATGGCCTGTTGGAGGAATATCTCGAGTTACTGGATCAATACACGAACCTACGGGCGGAGCTAGGCAAGGCGCAGAGTTCCGTACGTCATACCTTCCTCACTTGTCTACAGTTCAAGAATGGAGGAATTGAATGGCCATGCTGATATCTGATGCTAAAAAAGATCCAACAACACCTCGCCCGAGCAAACTTCCACGCCGACCGTGGGGTTCGGTATGGTGCCTCCTTCTACACCCCTCGCATGCAAGCCTCACGAGTATGTCGTGTAACATCTCCAGCCCTCGCATCCGAGTCGCCGACGTTCTCTGTCCATCCCTACCCCCAAAAATCCCCCGACGAGGGAATCAATGACATAACCACGAAAACATCTTCTGGAACATCGCCTATCACCTCCCCAGAAAATTTCAAAGAAAATCTCTTCGAAGACGAGAAGGAAAAAGAAAAAGAGGCGGGAACGAACGGGAAAGAAAAGGATAAGAATAAGATACCTGATCCTATCCGTATGTTTGGATTCTCGACCTCGCGGGAGTTGAAGGAGGCTCAGAAAGAGTCCATTTCTATGATTGAGGGGGTTATTCCGAAACTTCTGGGCTTGGATGAGCAGATGAAGGGAGTGGAGATTGAGATTCGGAGGGCGAGGAAGTATCGTGCCAAGGCGGAGGCACAAATTTCTGAAGATGTGAAGCCTTGATGGAGAGAGTACTCTTTTATTCGCAGGGGATGGTTTATGGTTTGATATCCTACGACAACGTGAGGGGTTACGGGGAACGGTTCCGGGAATACGATACGAGAAAAGGGATTTGACATATCCATGACAAAAGAACTGGTGGACTTTGTGTCTGGCAAATGTGGGATGTAAGTACCTACGCGAATTGCTACATGCAGCTATGTGATGCTAGGAAATACTCTCCCACTAGCTGTATCTTGGCCCAAACCCAAGTAAAGGATGACCATTGTCTACCAAAATATGCCTCGGGGCCTACAAAGTCTGGGAAAATATCCAGGTTTGTCATTCTCATTCTCATTCTCATTCTCATTCTCATTCTCATTCTCATTCTCATTCTCAGATTTAGGGTTAGGGTTAGGGTTAGGGTTAGGGTTAGGGTTAGGGTTAGGGTTAGGGTTAGGGTTAGGGTTAGGGTTAGGGTT